ATGTTGTACAGCATACCTTCATTTATAATGTTGTTCGCCATACCTTTCACTTATAATGTTTTACACCATATCGTTTACTTATAATGTTGTTCACCATATCTTTTTCTTATAATGTTGCACAGAATACTTTTTACTTATAATGTTGTTTACCATATCTTTTACTTATAATGTTGTTCACCATACCTTTTACCTATAATGTTGTTCACCATACCTTTTACTTATAATTGTGTTCTCCATACCTTTTACTTATAATGTTGTACAGCATATCTTTTACTTATAATGTTGTTCAAAATACCTTTTACTTATAATGTTGTTCAAAATACTTTTTACTTATAATGTTGTTCACCATAGCTTTTTCTTATAATATTGTACATAATACCTTTTACTTATAATGTTGTACAGCATACCTTTTATTTATAATTTTGTTCACCATACCTTTTACTTATAATATTGTTCAACATACTTTTTACTTATAATGTTGTTCACCATACCTTTTTCTTATAATATTGTACACCATACCTTTAACTTTTATTTATAATTTGTTCACCATACCTTTTACTTATAATGTTGTTTACCATGCCTTTTACTTATAATGTTGTTTACCATACCTTTTATATATAAGGTTGTGCAGCATACCTTTTACTTAAATTTTGTACAAGATAGCTTTTGCTTATAAATTGTGAAAAATACATGTTACTGAAAGTGTTGTACACCATACTTTTGATTTATAAAATGTACAACATAACTTTTACTGATGATGTAAAACATACCTTTTGTTCTGTTCTGATCGTCCATGTTCCTAAATTTGTTAAAGTTGAAAGTTGAAATGATCCAGCAAAAACACCAAATGCAGGCTTTACTTTAAGATACTGCTTTACTCTGTTATTTTTGGGATCCTGAAATGAAAGCATGCCTCGTTGATACTTCAATATATCTATGAATGCCGGGACATTTTTACCCCTTCCATCTTTCTTTCATCGATAAAATTTAACACAACTGCCAAAATTATGAAAGTAACGTTCAATTATTAAGATATTCTGAAAAAAATTATTTAATAATATATATAAGAAGATTTATGGTATGAGTGCCAATGAGACAACTCTCCATCCAAGTCACAATTTGTTAAAGTAAACCATTATAGGTCAAAGTACGGCCTGATACTTCCTGCCTTCGTATCATTTAGCTTGATAGAGTCGGGAAACAAAAGGACTCACAAGGAAAACTTAAAGTTTGTCTTACCTGAATGAACATATCCAAAGATTCATTTCGGACTATTAAACTAGGATCAGTACCGAATACTCTAAACTGAACTGTTGTAAAAAATGAATGTAGAACAATGATAATTATAGAGAAAAAAAAAGGATAAAAGTAGTTGTTACGATAGAAAAGAACAAATACAAATATCATGTATATAACATTCAATGAAACAGCAACCCAGCAAAACAAAATATTTTAAAAGAAATATATAGGTCAACATATAATATTTGTGAAATATCTATTTTTCCTTTAAAAATACAATTATAAAAATATGTTCTTTTTCTTATGTTTCTTTCAACTTAAATATAAAGTTATTTAAAAAAATCATGCATCCTTGTAAAATGTTGAAAGAAAAAAATTATTGGCAATTTAACATTTTTTTTCTGATTGGTGATCTCATTCATTTAATCAACTAGCATATCCATACTAAACGGACAGCAGATACTTTCTAGTGTGTTTTATATACGAAAATAAAAAGCGTTGTAGTTATGGTTATGATAGTCCGGTTTAAGATATGATACTGTATAGTCATTTAAAAAAATGTCAGGAAATCCTGTCAGGTACATGTAATACTTAGTTTATCAATGAAACACAATTCAATTCCAATATTGAGAAATGTACCTAAGTCTCCAGGCTTATAAATAGCTTTATCAGTTTGAATAAAGATAGAGGTCGCTTTTGTAGTTGCTTGTATTCTTGTTACTGTTTTATCAAACGAGAGTCCTCCAGAAACTTTGACTTTCATCTTGTAATCCTGTCCAGCAGGAATAGTATCGGGTACCTTCATTAAAGAAAAAAAAACACTCAAATCAGTTAATATATTCTTTATATAAACTATTAACTATCTCAATACACTAATCAAATAGTGCTTATCTATTGTGATTTGTTAGCATATGCCAATGTATCATTTGATTTGTAATCATATGCCAATGTGTCCTTTGATTTGTAATCATATGCCAATGTAACCTTTGATTTGTAATCATATGCCAATGTAACCTTTGATTTGTAATCATATGCCAATGTAACCTTTGATTTGTAAGCATATGCCAATGTATCCTTTGATTTGTAATCATATGCCAATGTAACCTTTGATTTGTAATCATATGCCAATGAAACCTTTGATTTGTAATCATATGCCAATGTATCCTTTGATTTGTAATCATATGCCAATGTATCCTTTGACTTGTAATCATATGCCAATGTATCTTTTGATTTGTTATCATATGCCAATGTAACCTTTGATTTGTAAACATATGCCAATGTATCATATTGATTTGTAATCATATGCCAATGTATCCTTTGAACATTTGAAGTCACAAGAATTTTTTAGCGTATTTCTTGTCATAAATATTTAAAAATGCCATTTGCTATGAGTCGCACCAATTTGAAGGACGACCACTGACGTCATTTATTTCGTTGAATAATGAATAAAAGGAAATTTAGACCATTTTTAAGTTTTTATAAGGAGAATGTCATTTGTTGCCACACGTAAAAAATAGAACACTAGCTTTTTCTTATCTCGGTAGGGTAAATATTGAGAAAAGATTCCAGGGATGCAATCAAAAACTATAGAAAAGATTCCAGGGATGCAATCAAAAACTATAGAAAAGATTCCAAGGATGCAACCAAAAACTATAGAAAAGATTCCAAGGATGCAATCAAAAACTATACAAAAGATTCCAGGGATGCAATCAAAAACTATACAAAAGATTCCAGGGATACAATTAAAAACTATACAAAAGATTCCAGGGATGCAATCAAAAACTATACAAAAGATTCCAGGGATGCAATCAAAAACTATACAAAAGATTCCAGGGATGCAATCAAAAACTATACAAAAGATTCCAGGGATGCAATCAAAAACTATTGGTGATACCTCTGATGTGTTGATATTATACTGAAATAATCAAAGATGATATCAAGCAATATTTAATTCTCACTTGTTACGAAAGCTATCATCGACATATAAAAATTGCTGTACATAAAATTGAACTTACGTTTATTTTGACCACTGCAGGTCGTCCTGAAATTTAAGTCACAAGACCTTGATCAGAAATTCAGTATTCAACTAGTGTTAATCAAAACAATATGCATTTATGAACAACGCTACAGCTAGTCAATAATTATGGTATTGGCATCTTTAAACATGCACAAATTAAGCAAGAATGATGGACTTCTTATGTGAATCACCAAAAGAAGATACAGCAAACGAGTTGTCAATTATTCGATGTAAATATTAATTTCATTTAAAATGACTTAAAATAATAAATGTAGTCGTTATATATAAGACACCACTATCCCATGTTAAGGGAGGGTTGAGCGCTCACAATCATGTTTCATCCCGCTACATTCTATATTTCCCTGTCTCAGGTCGGGAGCCTGAAATTCAGTGGCTGTCGTTTGTTGTTGTATATCATATTTGTGTTTCGTAAAATGTGTTGTTATTAATGAGGCCGTTAGTTTTCTCGTTTATATTGTTTCACATTCTTCATGTCGGGCCTGATTATACGGTATGGGTTTTTTCTCATTGTTGAAGGCCATAAGTTGGCCTACCATTGCCTATAATTGCCTACCACTTCATTTTATCCGTGGTGAATAGTTTTCTCATTGGCAATCATACCACATCTCTACGTTTTTGTAAAAGCGTAACACAAGAATCCAATTTGTTTTTCCACAAAATTTGAATTACCCAAAATCTAAAGAGAGTTCACTAGCAGCACATCAAGCATACAACCCTAAATGATGACAAAGCTAACTGAAATATAGTTTTGAATTCAAAAACCATATATACCTAACAAAATGTCATTCGAAGAAGTATTAATGCATTTTCATCTAATTATTGATTAAGTATTTCTAATTCAAGTTCGGTGGCAAATATCTTACTTTATTTAGAATAATTAGCGTCGTATTTTGACTGACGCGGGGGAAATGAAAATGGTTGGTTTGAATCAACCAATTACAGCCATTTGCAGTATTTATTCTTTTCCGATGAATTTAAATGTGCTGAAATCGGATCACTTCACCCTATACAATGGACAGACATGAATGAGCTGTTGGACATTGCCACCATTTTCAGTTTTGTTGTCATAATAGTTCAAGGTGCATTAATATGATTCATTTACACTTTTATAGTAAAAGTAAATGTAAGAATGTACTCACGATTACTATTCTTTTTAAATGAAAAAGGGAAATGCATAACTTAAAGAAAAGTAAAATTAAGAACATATAATGTAAGGGAACATGAGGCAACAATTTAGATAATTAAGTTTTGGAAAATGCCTATACTAAGTCAGGAATAAGACAGTAGTCTTCCATTCATTCCGTTGGTCGATAAAGTCTTACGTTTGATTTTTTAACGCGTGCTTGCATCTCATATATGGCAATGACATTTCCATCTCTAGGAAGAAACATACTCTCTGCCCCATTGTAAGGCTTTCACACCTCTGATTTCATGGGCTACGGTGCATCATCACAACCACTGGAATACAGACTCTGATTTAAGAAAGCTCATACAGAATGTTGCGGGATTTAACATGTTTGTGTACGCCCAACCCTCCCTCAACATGGTATTTACTTTCATCCGGAACGCTCAAACTTAACATTTAAACGCAAAGGAAAACTAAATGATCAAGCACTAAAACTAAAGCACTGAATAATTGTTCCTTTCGATTATTTTTTTTCTCTTAAGCCGTTTAGTGTTGATGCTTATTTCATTTGTTTTCTTTTAATGTCTACTCACGCATTGAAACTATTGACTCCCTTTTAGTTGCTAATTTGGTATTGTCTTTGTCCAAAAGTGTAACCACTACATTAGCCCCTCGTTCAATTGGATTAATAGGTGCTATATAGATATCAGCCGTTGAACCAGCTCGTATTTGACGTGGTACCGTCACAATATATGTACTTGAAGTTGAACACAGAAAGAATATCATAATGGTTGTAATGCTATGAGACTTTTAAAATGACACTGCTTGCTTTCAGTCACTTCAAATAAAAACGGTATTGAATATCTATGGGTTTTTACGAACATTCATTTCTGTTTAAGGTTTTGATTTTTTGTTTTGTTTCGTTTATTTAATTGCATTGCATTACAATATTTTGTTTTTATTTTTTTGCTCTGTTTTATTTATTTTCATTTTGTTTTGTTTTTCGTTTTCGCTTTTTGTTTGCTTTGCTTTGGTTGTCTATGTTATGCCGTGTTTTTTTTTTATATCTTTTGACTTATATCTTAAACTTCTTTCTGTTTATTTGATCGACGGTCGGCTTTGTGTCTATTTGGTCGACGGTTGGCTTCGTGTCTATTTGGTCGGCAGTTGGCTTTGTGTCTATTTGGTCGACGGATGAAATTCAAATATCTTATTGTATTTTGAATCAGATCAGAATTGTGCCTCATATAAATAATAAGTCTTGACCACTAACAACATGTATGGTATAGTGCAATTACTTACTTTTTCGCCCAGGCAGGACCAATGACACATAACAGTAGACCGATTATTAGTCTCGTCATGTCCTGAATTAATGTATTATTATCTGCAAATAAGCATGTAAATCATATTTATATAACATATTTATATTTGAGAATACAAAATGTCCCATGTCACATTATGGAACATACGTACCTTATTAAGGTTATACCTGGTAAACGGTAAAAAGATAAAGCTCTAAACTATAATTTTCATAATGTTTAGTCATCCATTACAAATGTATATACATTGAATTTAATGTTACTTCGAACTATCCTATTAAGCATGGGAAATGGTTGAGTTGTAAAGCAGGTGATGCATATTTTAAAGATCAAACATAGAAAGGAGGATGACAAAAACTGAGGAAAGTTCTAATTCAAAAGACTAAGTACGAGTGGTTTCCATGTACTTATCAAATAGGACCATTGTAATAGTCTAGTAAGCAATTATTTCAATTATTAGAATCGCCTGCACATCGTCAATCAAAACCATTGTTGGTGCATTTTGCTTTAATGAATTAAGATTCGAATGAAACTCACTCTCGCGCTCCCATAATAAAGCTATTTTTCCTGTGTTTGAAAAAGGAAGCCTACTTATTTAAATGGCATTTTATTTCACAAAACTTTGATGAATTAGTTTTTATTTTTTAAGTATTTCTTTTTTCAAAGAATTAAACATGCATTTTAAGATAGTTATTTATTTCAATATTATTCAAGTATGAAATTAATGAGAACATTGTTTGCCTTTCTAAAATGAATTAATTCCCAGTGCTTGATATGTATGCTCTTCTGTATTTTTAAAGTTCTGGTGTATTTATTCTTGAGATAACTTATCTTATGTGCCACGTCATTCTCTCAACTTGAGGGGTATGTAGGTGACCTGTTGCAAGGCAAAAGTTCTGTCCCTGTCCATTATGCCCTCATTTTCCAGTGGTAGTCCAAATTTCCTCGACCTTCATTCCGGACGGCCTCTATTACAGGACTTACCTATTGTAGTTATTGTTAATTTGTTCTCGGTCTGAGCATGAATGAAATATTTGGAACTGGACAATTAACAACCAAAAATCAATCAATCAATCAAACAATCATTCTCCATTTCTCCTTGTATTCCTTTTAAACAAAAGAATTGTGTCTTGACCATATAAAAGGCTCTTTATTGCCTTTATTCCCAACAACATTTGAACAAAAAGACACATGAATTGTCATATATGTCATTTGGTCAACTTCTGTGTCTTTGAGTCTCTGGTGAAGAGAAAGCTAACGCTTAGCACTTATGATGTTCTTAGGGTATGCACATTGATTTAAGAAAAAGCGAAAATATAATTTGAGTATTTTACCCTCGTCCCCCTTTGTTATTTTTTTTTTTTATCTCTATCACGTTAAAGAGACAGAAAACAAAACTATTCAATATAATTGTTTAAGAGAAAAAAAACTGTATTGTCAATATCAAAATTACAATTCAAAGTATACTTGCACTTATTGAAAGAAGACCCAAAGTATTTGATAAAGTGATATGGAAATCATGCCTTGTTATACATGTACACAAATATTTTTCCAGGATGCGAAAAAAAACTCTATTGTTTGTGTTAGCTAAGAGAGGGGGTATAAAAATTAAATAAATACATTGTCTTAAAAAAGTTTTTTTTTAATACTACTAACCTCATAAAAGCAGAAAGATTTTCTAGTTGCCAATTGCAAAAAACAAAACTTACAAAAAGGGGTGTTTTTCATCTGTTTTTTGTTTTCAGTAAAGTTTTTTTTAATTGATGACGGGTTACTGCTGAACCAGCAAACATGGGCAATGTTGCCACAAGAACTAAATTTTGTATCTATTTTTACTTGTTCTATCTGTTAAGGAAACACAATTACACAAATAATTTGATTTTCACTTGTTTACATTTACAACTCTCGGGAAACCATATAGATTAGAAAAGGTGATTCTTTTACATCATAAACATTTTTATTTACATACATTAGCATATGCTGTAATAAAAAATATCGCTATTTTGCAAAATTTTCCTTTGATCTTACTGACTGATAATTTCCTTCTCAGCACAGTAGAGTGATATGAAAAATTATCGCTAGAAACTAAGGGCGCATGTGCCGTTGTCTATGTAAACATCAACGTCGTCATAGGCAAAATAGCGATAAACAGATTATGATTGGTCATCTCAACTCGATTACTTTTCTCAATTTCGCCGTACCGGCTCAAGCGAGAAAAATCAATCTCGTTGAGATGACCAACGATAATCTATAATTCCCTTTTGAAGACCATAAAATAAAAACATCTAAACAGTTTTATCACGGATATACAAAGTTATTGCTCGCATATGTTTTAATAGACACATAAACCAGAATGATAGATTCCCAGGTTTTGACAGTTGTGAATACTGGCTTATCCTAAACGCCAAACTATATTTATTGTGCAATTTTATCACAAAAATGTGATGGTTTAGGGGAAAACATTACAAAACTAATACTTTTCTTTTTCTGTTCAGTGTTTTTGAGAATTCCTTTAGGAAAACATAAATTTCGGCCTTAACTGTCCCGATTTTGGAAGAATAAAACTATATTAATCCGATTATCAATTCATGTGTTTTGTGGGTTGAATGAAGTGTAAGAAAATTGTCCTCCAGTTTTCAACCCGGACCCCTTGAAACTTAAGCTAAAAAGATTGCAAGCATATGGAATGTATACACCTGCTATTATTGAAATCCTTGAGGATTTATTTCCTTTTTCCAGTCATTGGAAATTAGTCATCATAGTTTTCGGTTAAATAACACTATTAGTTTTGTGTAACCATCTCTTCCTCCATATGCAGTTTTCAACCCAGATTGTTACTTCAAAGAAAGATCGCACACATAATTAAGTTGCACACTTGCTTTTATAGAATTACTATTGTTTGAGGAAGCTTCTTCGTATTTTCCAACCTTAGACCCAGGTGCTTGAAGAATGGACCCACTTTTTCTATTTTTTTTTTGTTTTTGTGTGTTTTGGTAAATATTATAACATTTTAACTTTTTTCATGTATATAATGTGTCCTGCTTTTTTCTTTTGTTTACAATAGTTATAAATTTTGACATCCTTTTATCATAATAGTGTTTTAGAATTAAATAGCAGGACACATTAGATAAATGCTAAGTGCAAATAAGTTGAAAATGTAATGTAGAATATTTAATAAAAAAAAACAAAATTATATTTAAGACAAAAATGAGGGGGTTCATTCCCCAAGCGACTGTAAACTTAAAAACTGTTTCGTATTTTTAATAAATAGTAATTTGTCAGTGAAAATTTTAAAAGATTTAACAATTTTTTAACTCAGAGATCTTTAAGATTTCACAGAGAGTTTGCAAACCTATTGAGGTTGTACTCCTTTCATTTTAAGATTGTTTGAGTATTTTTTGTCATTTTGCCATTCTATATTTCCATGTATTTTTTAAAATGTTCATCACAGACTTTTCCATTGTTAAAGAAACAATCAGTGCAACCCAGCTGACAATTGCCAAAAGCAGAAACGCATTTTCCATTCTTTGCAAGATTCACCTATAGCTACACACTGATATGATAGACATTTTCAATCAGAAATTAAAAGTGAAGGTTGTCTTTTTGAAATGTATATAAACTCACTCTTACTAAATCCAAAGATAAACGACCTTTTTAGACATTGACAATGACACTTATTAAGGTAATTTATATATCGAAGTTAATGATAAACCGAATGTTTTCTCCTTCTCTATTGTTAACTATAGGTTTACTTTACGGTTTTGTACAGTTTGCTCCTTCCCATCGGGTTTGTTTTCCGTAATGATCAGCTTCTTTGATATAGACATTTGACAATGACGTCTTAGATGTCAATACACGAAACATTTAAAGTACTTCTTCACCGTTGATAGCACAGATATAGATGTCATATAGGTAAAACTGTTCTCAACTCTTCGCATATTTAGATATTGTACCTTCAGAACGGTAATGATAAGTATATTTCATCCAATAGAATACTGTAATGTGACTTATAAGGGTATACAAGTATAGATTTTATTTTTGTTTAGTTCTTTTTTGACTCATTGATAAAATAATATGTATACATTAGTTATTCAATCATTGCGATTGTTATCATTAGCTAACTTAGAACAAACTTACGAGCTATTGTATTTTTTTCTTGAAACCAATATGCCAATCAGGACAAGCTTGGAAACAATGATCTTGACCGTTTTTCATTTAAAAATTGTGTCTTATATGAACGCTGAGCAAAACAAATCATTAATGCTCTAGCGAACACAAAAAACAAGGTTAAATAAAGTTCGTGGCTAATATGTTGAAAGATATTACAGATATAGAAAAAAACAATAACATCAACACCATTTGCATATGATCTGACATTCTTAATGTTGGTCCAAAGTCTTCAATCAACTCTTTTATATAGAGGTTTTCGCCAATAATATTAGTTATCTTACCTCATATACATTTCTAGGAATATGATTGGTTAAAACCGACCGCGTGGAAATTCTGTATATTTCATATTGGGTTAGTAGGCGTTATTTGTTTTAAAACACGATTAGTAGTGGTTTTACCTCCCTTTATATAATCAACACGGCGTTGGGGGGAAATCTGAAACGTTTCACCCGGACAACCGATGAAAAAATTGATGATGAACAATTGAAATAAATTCATAAATCTCAGTAAAAGCTAACAATTAATAGCTAATACGATATATATGGGGTCAGAAGCTCGTACCCTATATGGAATTTTTTAGGTCACTAGCACACTGGGTAACGAATTTATCTTGCCGACTATCTTCACATGTGGCATTTAGACTATATAGCTAGTGACCTATCAAAGAAATCAAGTCTTCAATACAAGGAACCTACTAACATTGGTCTATACAAAAATATATGCCAACAATAAACACTTGTTAGCTTTTAATGTGTATTCTGAATTCTTTCAATCGTTCATCACCAATTTTTCTCGTCTGTAATCCGGGCGAAACGTTTCAGATTTGCCCTCAACGTCGTGTTGTTTTTATAAAGGGACGTGATTAACAGTTTTAGAACGTCTTGCCAATGTTACAGTTATCGTAAGGACTAATACAGAATATCGAAAGCGAAACTTGGCGATTTTTTTTCTGTGGAAAATAGAAGAGTTAAGGAAAAATTTAACAACGGAAATCAAACAAAATCCAGAATATCATTCACAATCCAATAAAGCTTACCTTTTTATCTTTGTTGTTAAAATGCCGTCTAATGTAGAGGAGAAACAGTTTTGTTTAATCAAAGAACTGTGTGAAACAAATATCTATACATACATTATATTTAAAGGCCTTTGACAATGATTGCATATGTTAAGCCTTAACTTCAATATAAGGTCTTCTGAAGCGTTAGTAAATATTATTTATTAAACAAACTTTAAAAAATGATTATATTAGCAACACATTGTATTTTATATATCTTTTCACCTAATTTTATATTCAGTAATTATAATGTCTTTCGTAACATGTTTTCTATATGTATGGAAATAACGCTTTTTTTCAGGACAAAAATAATCATTTATAAAAGCAAAAAAGTCCCGTAAAATGAGCAATGCCGGAAATACATCATTGTATACGAGACTAAAGTGCATCCTGTAATGCGATTAAGTTGTAATAGTATTTATGGTAAGAATGCAATTCTGTGGTGCATTGATGTATAACTTATCTCTTTGTGCTTGTATTCACAAGCTATATAATCCTAATATAACAATCTCATTCGGACATTATTGTTTTTATTATGGTAATAATAGAGCTTTATTAAAGGAAACTATGATTTGGTGGTTTAAAAAGATTTTCCAGAAAACGAATGCATTTATATGATTCACACAGAAAATTTTTGTTCATAAATGTCTATTTGTAAAATCCGTATCAGATAATAAAGACATAATCCTTCGATCAGTTTAATTGAGGTATGGAGCTGGCATATCAGTGACAGCTTGTAGTTCTTTGTTGATTTATGTTATCATTGTCATTTTCTTAGTTTCTTATGTTACCTATTCTAACATCTGACTTGGACTTTTTTTAACTGAGTTTTACTGTGCATATTGCTGTGTGTTTAAAACCCTGCCTTATGTTTGCGCCTGTCTTAAGACATGAACCTCTGGCCTTTGTTAGTCTAGTATGATTTTTAATTTTGATCCATTTATATGTTTCGGAGTTTAGTGTGACGCTTATTTTCGCTGAACTAGTATACATAAAGGCAACAGTAGTATACCACTGTTCAAAAGTCATAAATCGATTAAGAGAAAACAAATCCGGGTTACAAACTAAAACCGAGGGAAACACATCAACTATAAGAGGGAAACAACAGAAACACTGAATTGTAACAAAAACAAACGCCAACATACATAGAAACGGTCTGTTTGATAACAACTGCCATATTCCTAACTTGGTACAGGACATTTTAAGAACAAATGGTGGGTTGAACCTGGTTTTATGGCTAGGCAAACCTCCCGCTTATATGGCAAAATTATGATATTATTACGTGAGTATTTCTGTATTGGCCTTGTTATTGGTCCGAGGCTTGCTGTATTGGCCTGAGGCGAAGCCGAAAGCTAATACAGCTGGCCGAGGACCAATAACAAGGCCAATACAGAAATACACGTAATAGTATCTTTATTAATTAACTACAGTGTTACAATATTTTTTTTATTTCATTTCACAAGAGATAAACATTTTTACCTTGAAGTGGAACTATCCAAATCTCAGTTTCTTTTTATAAGATGCTCTATCTAATGATCTGGTGTCGTTTCCAGGTGTCTTCAGCATTTTCTACCCTTTCCAGTCACTATAAAGTGTTACAATTTAAATTTAGACACAACACATAAATAGTAATTGGAAAGGTATTGCCATTGCATGTGTTATGCAGAAACAAACTGAAAAAATAATGTAGGAGTTGAAAATGATACAACTATCCATAAGCCAACTGACCAAAGAACGAAGATTTGCACAATTACAGGTCACCCTTCCAGAATGCATATGCCTGGTTCGGGTTTAAAAATAAATGACAGTTTACAAAACATAAGAAGCGAAAGTAAACAGTAAATCGATTTGTACCATCGTGAAATTATGAGGTCGACAAGAAATGAACTTTGTGATAATCTACTCGTTTTCCAAACCTGAAATAATTCCATCGTCTGCTTTCAAAATGCTTTTTAAATGAATGTGACCGTCTTAAGCCTGAAATATATGCCATACTGAACGTTTCAGCATGTTTATGGTGAGTAAATGAAAACTGCGTCTTCCAAACAACTGTTTACTTTCAGTTTGTGTTTATCGTGACTTTCGATCTAAAAACTAGAGACGTTCCGAAATCCTGTATTGGCCGGATCAGAACTCGGCCAATACAGAAAAAAAATCTATATTGGCCGAGTTATTCTGTATTGGCCGAGTTGACACCTTTATATTGCATAGGCAGTTTTCATCATATTAAGTCCAATAACAGTGTAGTTAATAAATAATAAAAAAATATCGCTAAAATGACAACACTACCTGACGGGAATTATGTACAAAAAACGCAAAAACGCAAGAACATTATTGTTTAGGGGACAGATGAAGCCCGCCTCCGGGTGAGGAGTTTGGTAATAGTTAGAACAAATTCATTTTGAACGAAATTTCGGCACAAGATTGGATAAAATGAATTTACAAAATATTACCCCCTCCCCCCACCAAAAACAAAACCCCGAAAAAAACATATCAACGTTTATAAAATAAGGAAGTGGATTCTAGACCATCCAAGCCGCTTTTTTAATATAGTTTGAATTCTTCTTTGACAAAAATATTGGCTTATTATGGCCAAATTACATTTCAAGTATAGGTTGCAGCATAGACTTTTACGAAAGACCACATGACATATTATTCATTCCAACTTTGGTATTTGATATTAGAGTTTTAATATTTGAAGTCAAAACTAAATAGAGGACAGTTTTTACATTAAGATCCTCTTACCGTTTGCTATAGTTGTTAAGTTTAACGTCATTTTGAATTTAATGGGAACTTGTCTTATTGTCTTATATTTCAAATATTTGGCTTTGAGGCTTCCTGCTAAATCTTCGGCGCCTAAAATTTGTTTCAAACAATGACAAATACATAGACAGTCGGTCGCACGAAAGAACACGTTCACGTACACACGCACGGGATACATATGAAAAAACAGTTTATCAGTTGCGTTTCTTTGTATGCAAACATGGATACAAGCGTTTTTTTTTTTCTCACAAAGACTGTAATTGAAGAATTAAGAACAAATTCCTCCTCAAATATCAAAAACTAAAAATTTAGGTCAAAATTATTTTGTGATTTCAAGGTTTTGGAAACGGATATATGAACTGATTGTTTTGCTATGTGTTTCTGTATTCTACATTGGCTAGAGGTATAGGGGGAGTGTTGAGATCTCACAAAACATGTTTAAACCCCGCCGCATTTTTGCGCCTGTCAAAAGTCAGGAGCCTCTGGTCTTTTTTTGTCTTGTATGTTTTTTTAATTTTAGTTCCTTTATATGTTTTGGAATTAAATGTGACGTCCATTTTATACTGAACCAGTACACAATATTATTTTAACGGAGTTGAGAAATACATCTTGTAGCAAAAATATCTGTCAAGGATCAGCCCTTAGCTCACATCTAAATACGAATGACAAATTCTCAAAACGAGGCTGTTGTGGTAGTGTCTGCGGTGTTTGCAGTTTTGCACCAAATGCAAGAAGTTTGAAACCGTAACTCAAAATATATTAGACAAAATTCAAAAACGTAGATACTGATGTCTAAAAGACTATTGTTTCAAGAAAGTCTGAAGAATGTTACTTGATAGATTGGAAATAATTTTTGATTTTCAAATTGAAATATCATATTGCAGAAATGGAATTTGTTACGTGTTAACCCGTGTTTCGAATGATCCTTTCATGCCTCCATACATTTTTAGACAAGTCCTATTTGTAACGTTCGATACAATATTTTTTCGGCCTAATAAAACGTAAACATGATTAAAATGTTTATTGAAAATGATTGCAGTAACTGGAAATCTGTCAGTGATAAAAAGCATATATGTTTTACTGTTCAGAACTATTTAGGTAAATTCTACTTTACGTATACTTTTGCAGAATACTTTTGTATGTATATAAACATATGGTACATTCTTATCTGCACTTTTGTATTTGTATTCTATTTATCGATTTACATTAAAAATTAAGATATGATTGTATCAGAGAATTAACATAATGTAACATTTTAAGATGTTTATTTAAATCATTCATGTGCACCAATCTTTTACTGATAATCAGAATACAATGAATCTGCAAATTCATAATTTAATGCGCATGCATGAAGCATATTTCTGTGACAAACTTCAATCACGGTTAAAATTAACAATTCCTACATTATTAAAAAGGGACCCTTCAAAAACTGTAAAATTCTAAGGACTTCATACATTCGTGTTGCTTAGTCTTTAGCTTTCTATGTTGTGTCATCTGTACTATTATTTGTCTGTTTGTCTTTTTACTTTTGGCCATGGCGTTGTCAGTTCGTTTTCGATCTATGAGTTTGACTGTCCCTCTGGTATCTTTCGTCCCTCTTTGGGAAAGATGAATTTAAGATTTTTTTAACCATCATATCTATGAAAATTACTTCAAGGTAATATTATTCATATCACCATAACAACTAAAAGTATGATTAGCTAGAAGCGATTTACATATTCAGGGCGAAATTTCAAAGCATATTATTCCAAATATGACTTATTACCAATAAAACAATCAATTAAAATTAACCACTAAAAAAAGAACAAAGAACAAAAGACAAAAAATTCTAAACTAAGCAGTTACTGAAAGTAAGATCAAAATGAAAATAACAAGTTATGGTATGATGGCCAATGATACAGCTTTCCACACGAGACAAAATGGCGTGCATGTTAGCGACCAAAGCTCACAGTACGGACTTGAAAATAAAAAATACCAGTACCGTATGCCATCCTATAAAGGCCCCATATTTTAGTAATGTGCACCAACAAAATGTTATGGTAATTGTAGAAAATATGTGAACATTTGCCAATGTTCCCTTCCGATGCACAGATCTGCAGGGGCAATACATACAAATTAGTGTTTGGACTTTAAAACTTCATAAGTATTCCTTTAGAAATGTAGGCATGATATCTCTTATAAAGTTACACATAACTTCTACTTCTAAGCTAGGGCCCCTATCCCTATCTAAGACCTTGCTGCTATAGATCTTTCATCTAAATTTCATACATAGCTGACAACAAATGTTTGATTGAAGGCGATGCAAAAACAGTTTCGTACGAATTTACATTTCCAGGGAC